TAACAGCACCCTCAGTTGGCAATAAAAGCATACAAAGTATTAACAGTTCACTGAAGGAGGATTTCAATACACTCACAGCTCCAAATGTGTGTGATTGCTTTTATAGACTTAAGTGGCACCAATAGCGTATACGAGAAAGAAATGGTAGAAAGTTTAGGATCCTTTTCTGTTGAAATTGAAAAGAATCGAGGCCACAGGGAGCTCATTAAGACGAGAAACAATATTTCGAGCTTCGAAAAAAAAATTCAGTGGACCAGAACTTGGAGATTGGAAATACATATATAAACAGCCGTACGCTATTTCCGATCCAAAAGGGAAAATGTGAGACTCACTAAGGGGCTCTGCCGAGTGTTTGTCATTGCCCTGGAAGGTATAGTGCATTATGGACTCTGTAAACCTGTCTTGTCAAGCAGTTCTGTTACAGGTCTGTGGAATTTTATCGAATTGACTTTTGAAACATGATATTACTGTGTACTGCACTGCATCTTGACATGAAAACATGCAGAAACTGGCAACTATGAAAGAAGCCTATCAAACTTTATTCGTGTTGTACTTTCGATCATCGTCTGGGCTTAGGCCTGGTCCAGTTTGGATTTTGGTCGTGATCTGATAGTAATAAACGAACACCCTCAAGTCTGCACTGTTTCAAGACCCCCAAATTCTCCAAGCTCTGGCCACAAGTTCAGTGGCTATAGGCAGTTACACGAGGAATGAATCACTCCGAAATCTGTGCCCCAAGAAGAAACAAAACTGAGTGACTTTTTTTTCTACTTGGCTATTTGCAAACGGCCACAAAAGCATATGCATTGTAGTTATTGGAACAGGCGCTGGCTTCCAGAACAGTGTCACCGTAATTATCTATTCACGTTTTCTGATTAATTATGGCAAAGAAACTCCCCGACACCTTACTCAATGTCGTTATGGAAATATGCGTAGTCTATTAAAGTTTGCTTATATAATTATGACCCCGTCCAGACTGGACTATTCGTCATTGAGTAACTATGTACGTGAGGGCGCTGGTAGGTAGCCGCATCAAGGGTACTATTTCTGTTAATAATCTGTCATTCCGCCCTATAAGTGGAAAATGCTACTTGGAGAACTTGTTTCTTCTGGAAAACTCAAAATTAGTTTCATAACACTGACATTTTTTGTGAAATTACTGTATTAAGAGCGATTCGAATCATTCTTAATTTTATTTCGGCAAAAATTGTGACGCAAAGTGACTGGTGAGGCTGATCGAAACTGACACAGCATTTTGCAACAGTGAAACTTGGACCTCAAGCGCGTTTTTGGAGTTTTCAATGGGATATGGCCAAGTACAGGTCCATGAACAGGAAAGTAACAGGTACAGGAAAGTAATTGCTGGACCCCTTTACTTTACTCATGTTTGTATATGGGAACAATAACTGATCGGATTCTGTGTCACAGCACCAAGGACAAGAAAATTGACCAAACGTTGGTGACACAGAAACTGGAAGAAGATGAGGGAAGCTATCGGGTAAAACAGGTATGGAGAGGAACACACTGCATGGAGAACAAAGGCAAGCAAGAAGAGGGTGGATGAGGGGGCAGAGGTTGACAATATGAGGACTACAAGTGACAGCAGAGGCAAGGGTGGAGTTTTTGGGGAAGATAGGACGGAAAATTGTAATTCGTACAAGGGAGGTTTACTTCATGTTCGTGTCACCGTTGATGGAGTCATTCAATCTCTTTTTGTGGTCCTTAACCGCAAACGCAAAATACAATTCTAACATGGGTTATGTTTTAGAGGTCTTCCAACCTGTAGACGTGGGCCACTTCATATAGCAATGAGCGGGGGGTGGGTGGAAATGTGATCCCCTCAATCCCCTCGGGATAGCACTTGGGCGGGAATGCATTCTCGTATCGATGAGCTTTTACACAGAAATATAACACATTATCTGAAGAAGCTGATAATAAAACGATACTTTTCTCGCGTAAAAAGAACAGGCGAAAACGGTTTGCCTTGAACTTGAGTTGACGAAGTATGCAAGATTTGTTAAAAATACGAACATGTGATGCAGACGAGTAGAATATCAAACAATACTGCTTTTAATTTTTGCTAGCAGTGCTGCCTCGCAGACAAATCTAAAATCTAGGACATTAACACCGATGATTTTTCCAGAAGATTTTAAGTGATTCTCTTTTTATTGAAATTACCTACCGTTCAACCCTTTACCAACCGAACATAACAAGCCGGATAACACTTTGGCAAACCATCACAAGCTTGAAACAATCTAAGAATCATTAAAAAATAGATCCACTGATTGACTATGGAACATAATTTGTGGCTGTTGATACTGCAGTTTTAGAGATCAACCTATCGTACCCAGCTGATTGTGGTAACAACTTCAGTATCAGCACCATTTGCGTTGACTGCTACGATCTCCGAAAATCAAACACTATTCCATGGTCTTCTGTAAATTTCAAAGCAGGAAGTTTTCCTGGCACTATTTCACAAACTGGACAGTTTCATCACACCGTGACTGTATCCCGTAAATGACGTTTAACCACAAGGCACTGAGCATTCTTACCTTTCAAATAACTTGTATACAATGTAAAAAGATCTTTTGGTAGAACGAACCCCTGTGGGGCACCAGTATCGGTGTAGAAAATATCAGACCCAGACTGCATTAATCTTACCCTCTGAGGCCTATTTGTCAAGAATGCATTAATTCACAAATCCACAAAGTGCGGGAGCTTGCTCTACAGAACTTGGGGCTGGTTCAAATTGAATATATGCGAGAAACGAACGGAGAAAAATTCTACCATATGCCTAAGGATTGTCAATATGGCTGGAAATGCCCTGCAACAATATTAAAATTGCATCTTCGACGCTACTTCTTGTCCAGCAAGAGGGACTGTAATTAATATAGTGTGCGCTTTTAAGGGGCAAGTATTTCTACCAGTATTGTCCGCAAAGGTGCTCAGTATTATTTGTTACACCATTATAGAACTCTCTTAAACAAGGGCGCGATCACATCTTCTGCCGTGCCCCCTGGCTTAAAAAGTAACCTTTTTAAAGTCTCGGGGCAGGCCGACCGGGCATGGAGAAGGGACGACAATTGGCAATCCATGTTTAATTGTACTTTGTGCTCATGTACTTTTTGTGGACAAAACACCTGGAACCTATGTTTAAAAGGAAAGAAGTTACAAAGAGAAAAGGCAACACGGAAGTTTATGCAGAAAAGGAGGAATGCTTCCAAACATCGTGCGACAAGACTTTAACTTTGAGATAACAAGCGATCTTTAGCCAACCATAGAGAAAACTTTACAAAGGGAAGTTTAATGTACCCTAGCTCGTCCTCAATTATGTCCCCGATCCTGAAAATTGCGATAAGCCAACCCTGACCTCCCCTTTGCCCTAAAACATGCCAGATGGTTTTACATTTAATCTCAATAAGGAACCGGAAACGTTTTTTGTGGTGGTAAATTATCTGGGGTTTGGCAGCCGCCGGGAATGCAGGAAAAACAAGTTGTGAAATCTAAACACAGCAGCCCGGAACATTAAAAACGTTTCCTGCTTGAAATTTAACCTTTCGCTTTGGTCGTATATAAACTTTTATCGGTCCCTGAGGCGCGATGCATTGGTGTTTACTCCACGTCATGAATTTGTGCTATGATTTAAAAGCTACGGGCCTGATTATTTGCAGATGTGAATCTAAACCTTCCAAAGTTTTTCTTAAATTGCTTAAATTCAAAGTTTTATGTGTACATTCTTACGGCGATAGTTAGCACTCAAAAATGTGACCTTAAAACATACGTGTGGTTTTGGAGAGTGTTCCCGTTAATTCAAAAATAAGATCCGAGAGGAAAGGAATACAATGTAATGGGAAATGAGATATTTCTTAACCACTGATGTTAAACATTCACATGGCATGTTAAATTTTATTGCCACAGAAATTCATTCAAAGGAAACAGTAAATTTTGCCCTGATTCGTCCGCATGAAAACTCTTTGGATTAACCCAAATCAATCAATTAATGAATAGAATGAACTTGTGATTTTGGAGTTGAATTATATACAAAAGTTCTACTTACATGTCTCACTTATGTATGCGAAAACATCGGTGGTTTAATGGGCTGGTCTTCTATCAACTGAATGGCATTGATGTCTCATCGTCTGATTCAAACAGATCATAAGTAGGAAAAATTCTTATATGGCATGTTATTAATATCCATTCAACGACCCTCTATGTTCTAAATGCAAACTACATACACAATGCCGTTTTTTATGTAGTTGTGTAAAACAAGGACAGAGACGTTCCAGATCAAGACATAGTAGGTCCCATCTGAGAGGTTTCCACATTTGTAAATTATAAGAGGGCTTGCCAATAATGACCTACAGGTGTTGTCAACAGATGTCCTTCTCCGGAGTGCATACATACCATACAAGAACCTGCACAAACACGATGCAATCGATTGAGGATAGAAAGACAAAGAAAAGACAGACAAGTTATACACCATTAAGAAAATATTCGGTGTAAAACGGTCCTCGAAAGTATGTTTAGTTTACGAGAAAGTGCGATGGTAAAGGAAGGAAAGATGACGGTTCATTGTGTTCTAAGAATGTGATGCCTAAAGACATATGTGCTTGCATGAAGCGACAGCGCAAAGTAGGTGTATCCAGCGACGTTTCACTGGATATCCGCAATGACCCTCATCAACGGTGAAAAACATTGTTGGTCGGCGTTGTACAACAGAGTGACTCCCATGGTGCAGTGGCTCCGTGTCTTATTTATTACAATATTTACATTATTCGCACGGGGCCACGTAAATGAGCAGTGAAAGTGTCACCATGGTCACCGGATCATCTCACCTTAATGTCCACCACAAAGACCAAATATAGAAGACAAAATGTCATATTTCTATTTCCCTCGCGTCTGCGAGCCAACAATGCCAAGTGGTATGGCAAGGTTTAGGATGGATTTCTTTCAAAAAACGAGCCTTATTATCCTGTACGACTTTTTGTTTGGCTCTGTAGGGGAGGCGGTGCGACAATGCCGAACCAACAGTGCGTGGGGACCAGTTGACTACACTGGTTGCTCCCTTCAGACCCTAGTGGACCTCTATGCAAAGGTAAGCCAATATAAACACGCGTAAAATACTTGACGCCCATACAATATGCAGTACATACATTTTATAAATGGACCCTTTCGTCTAAATTTAACCGTAGTTTCAATGTTGTTTCGCTGTGTATGAGCGTTTGCTGCCATTTAATTTTATGCTATTACAAATTTGCATATATCTGTAAGCTGAAGAGTGATGTCGTCCAAAGGCGGCTTCTCAAGGCTTGTGTTTGGGTTTGTTAACAATTACTTCAATGGACAAGTATACAATGGAAGCTTACTTATGGATCTTATATAACGGGTAAGCAAGTTTACGAGAGCATGGAAGTTTAAAGTGAGTTGGCACACTTTCGGGCTCAAATCTACTGACAAGCAACCACACGTAATGGACGAGAACAAAGACTGCGTGGCAGAACACAGACACGCAACACAACACTGCCAGAGTGGAAAGCTTTCGTACAATATACTTTCCAATACGCAAGTATCTGCGCTCACAAAACCCCCAAATGAACTGCATCAGTCCATTTTCGAATATGGTGGGATTCTTCCCGTTGTGATCACGTGGCCGTTGCGGCCACCACACTGGAAAACGCTCCAACATAGGTGGAATCGTGTCGTCTGAGAACCAGACGTAGGTGTCCTAAATGAGCCCTAACGTATATATGGCACTCGTGCACAAACTGGCACCTCCAAGCGCACGACACTACACATTTCCTCTGTTATTATAAGCCAAAAGGCACACTAAGATTCGTGAGACGTTCTCTTCAAATGCGACAGAACTGGGCCAAGATTTCACGGAAGGTTTGCTTGAACTGGGATCAAGAAACATCCACTCAACGCTGTTACATTACAATCAGATTACCCGCAAACATATACATTATGGCTTCTTCAAGGTGCAAATTTTAAAAAATCAGCTAAGTAAAAAACACAGAAAAAAAGCCTCTCAATGTTGGAATTCTGTATTCATGAAAATGAACGATACGGTTGTTTTACTTAAAGCGTTTTTATTTCATAAGTTTGGACACATTTTAAGCATATGTGGGGGGCACAAAATATAAATTGGCCTAACTCTGACGATAAAGAAAAAGTATGTTCAGAATTCTATATTTTCAATATTACACAGTCCGTGCTCATTCCTTCTCATTTTTGTCAGAGCCCCTTACACCACTTTTAAAAGCGTCGTGAGTGTTGCACTGAACGTAGCAAGGCCAACATCTTCTCACATTATGATTCTGCTCCTAAGCAAACTTACGACACATGGTTACACGTAAAGACGATCACGGTTGTAGAAAAAAAAAGTGGTGCACATAGGTAATTTCAACTGAACGGACCCTAACAGGCAAGTCTACGCTAGACAAGCGAACCTAGCCTTGGATACTAGACTGGACAGGTGTTCTACTCTTGTCACAAGTGTGTTTCTCTTTTCATGATTGACTCTGGTCAGAGTTTTGGCTGTGCCCGTGAGCTGGATCACCGATTCTGAAGAAGTCAGACGACTTGAGAAATAAATTTCTGACAAATTTCAAAGTTTGTCACTGGGAAGGAAAGTTTAGCATTTTGAGATTTACTAGGCTCAAATGACAGTATCTTGTAGCAGGTTTAGGGAAAAATAACTCGCATTCCAATCAGTAAACTTTTGCAAGAACTATATGTTTATCATCAGCCCAAAGTGTGGCTGCCATGAATGTTGTTGGACCATTATTCTGCCACTTTAAACTCTTCTTCAATGTACAAAAATGAATTGACATCGTCATTAGGTTAAATGAATTGACAAAATGTTCCATGCTCCCCCAGTCTCCTGAGGGCGTTGTTGCTGTGACGTCATCAAGGAAGGACAAGGCTCAGTTCGTGCGTTTTTCTGTGGAAGCATCGAGAATGGGTTTAAAGCTTATTGATATGGATTAGCAAAACAATGAATCCCTAGAGGAGGAACAATTTGGACTATCAAATCCTAAAAAAGGAAGAGTTTTTTTGTGGACAAAGGTAGCACGGGGGCATTTTGCCATTGATAACATTTCAACTTCGCTAATGAATATCGACATACTAACTACCCGTAAAATTGAAAAGGAAACACGAGGTTACTTGAGAACTTGCTTGAGAAACACAGGTATATTTTTGAGCTTTTTATAGTTTCCCTTTAAAGTATTGAGGATCCTTCTTCAAATGGATCTCAAGACTGATGTATGTTTTTGATGTCGAGGAAGCTAGAGTGGATCTTTTAGAGCAATTGCAGCAGGCTCCGTACTTTAGTAGATCTCATGACCGTTGCCAGGACACGGGGATAGTCGCTGGGCAATATGGTCTCTGTTTGTGGCAAACATCACGGCCCGTTTGTTTAGCCATTAACGGCGGTCGTGTCACACTGTGTTTGACAAATTGCCCACTTCGAGCGTTGTGCATAATATTCACGGAGTAGTTATTAAACCTCAAAAATGAAGGAAACGTTGGTAATTTCCAGCAGTAATAATAACCATATATGGATAAGTTATGCACAATCGATCCGGTATAAACCATAGAATTATCACAGGTTAAATGGAAAAAACTTATAATTCAGTCAAATGTATAGCAAACAAACAAATGAGATTTGAACCTGCAGCCATCGGAAAATACAAAGTGTTCCACCTACTTTGTTGTTAAACCAATTGCTGAAGAAAGGTCTTTCTTTCGAGGGACAGTTGTCAGTAGTTCATTATAATCATTTCTCTCAGTGTTAAAGATTTACATTTTTCTTAACAAAGGTAATGCGTGGGAATACAAAAGTACATGTATATGGTCTACACGCGTGAAACGCGCCGATTGGGGTGCCACTTCGGCATGTTAAGTGCGGAGATATGCCAGTTTCGCTATAATTCTGTTTCCCACAAGTCTTGTTTAAAGCCGTGAGTTCAAAGATACCGACCACGATGACTCAGCCTACAGAGTTCATATGTCTGAGTCGATATATTCCCTGAAAGTGCTGCCAGAGTTCAAAGACACAACAGCCCCGTGGGACGCCTATGCTTAAGACTCTGTTGAAACAAATTATATTAGCCTTCGATCTATCATCGAAAGCAAGAAATCACTGTTATGATCCTACATTTCTGGTAAAGACTTTAAACACGCTAGTATATTACGAGCGCTGAGGTCGGCGGACACAAACAAGTCCTGATTCATTGGCAGATGGTGGGGAAGGAAACAGGGGCTTACCCAATTTTTCTCTACAAAAAGGCGATTTGCAGGAATATTTTACTTTTCTTTCCTCACATAGGCCTAAGCCTATTACAGCCGTATCCTAAACGTCCAAAAATTAGGCTAATGAAAGTTTCACAAAGAAATATTTACTTTTCCCCGAGCCCCAAACCAACAATTTGGTTCTCGAGATCTACCCGTGTCCTAAATCTACCAATGTTAATGTATTGTCACACACCCAAGGGGGGGAGGGTATGTGATTATGGTCAGATTTATGACTTTCGTGGACGTTCACGACCGCCCTGCACGAAGATACATGGGCCTCCTTGTAAAAGGTGCACAGTCACTCTTTCATGACCACCTATTGTTCCGTATGGTATGTACAATACATGTATATACCTTGCTTCGCCTCGTAAAAACAGATGGAATGAAAGTCGAGGATGATGATGGAACGTGGACAATTTTAGGTTGGGCAGTTCATGTATAAAATGAAGCAAGAAATGAATACAGGTGGGTTTAAAATTGCCTGTGAGGACCAGAGGTGGGTAACATTAACAGCGCAAGGTAAGGTTTTAATTGATTTCATTTCCAATACTGAATTCATATACAGTCTGCTCTTTCTACGCTACAGTCGCGCTTTTTCCTACAAGTGGCTGCTAAAACTATGCTGGTCGTCAGTACAAAAGTAAAAGAATAATTCAAAAGGGTTGAAAAATCGTGGCAAACCATAATTTACCAGATAATCAATACACGTATTACTAAATATGGTCATGAAATACAACCCTCTTTAGAATTAATTGGACCGGTGTACATTTGAACTCGAACGAAACTGAGGTAAAATCGAAAATAAACAAAGTGTGATTTTTCTGCAAATCTGGGCCGCCCATGTACAAATTGTAGGCAAAATGACAGGAGTGGTCCTTTAAAAGAGAATCTCAAGCTAAATCTAAGTGAATGGGAATTGCCTTTTGCTGCAGAGCAAACCACGTTGTCAGAAATGGAAATTTGACGAAGGGCACTCCATTAAGGCAGGGGCCCGTTGACAATGACAAGACATAATGTGCTCATGTCTGCAGAACACGTCTATTTGTCACGTTATCGTGTGATTCAGTGTCACAGCAACCAAGGCCTCTTGTGCGAGTGAGTTTGTTTCTGCATTCAATTGGGGACCCTGAACAANTGTGTACAAACATATGGGTGGTCTTGTAAAAAAGTTGGGGTACAAACAAAAGAGGAACAATAGGGGGTTCCCAGTTGCAGGCAAATACACACTTGTGTGCGTTGGTGGCGCTAGAGGGGTGTGTGTGTGGGGGGGGGGTTCACTCCCAATCCCCCTGCATTAGACTGTTTGAAAAGGAGGAGGATGGCCAAGTGCCACGCAGGGAATCAAACTGACATTGCACTCATGAAATTTGCTGACGGTCCCTTGGCAAGTTTCATGATAGCACCCGCCTTCATTTAAAATGACCTTGCGACGCGCGCAAGTGATCATGACTGCGGTGTGATTCAGCAACCAGCTGAATTAGAAGCCATTTTTTTAGAGTGGCACAACATTCTTGAAAGGGTGGTACCGTTCAAACCATCATTGCTGTGGATTGCCAAACGTACGCCCGCATCAAGCTTAAGGGAGGTTTAGATGCACGTATTACACAAACGTGAACGTGACAATTTTTCTTATCGCACACGAGTGCGCGGGGCGTCAAATGCTTGTTTGAACGTTTAGATGCGCGTCCCGCACAAAATGTACATCTTCCAATGAACACACGAATAAAAGGACAAATGATGAGTAACATCCGGCAAATGTCTCAAAAAAGTGCAATCGGTCATCATAAACCAAGCATGAAAAATTCCAAGTTGCATAACTTTTGCACTTTGAAAAAATGTCCATTTCACATCAGCGAATGTTTAATGCATAAATTTAATCCTTCCGAAAAAGTTGCAGTTTTTCACGTTTTGATCCAACATGAACTTCCCATGTTTCACGTATTGGACGTCCGTGCGAACTATACCGTACGTGAGAGAAGTACGCACAAAGCAATGACGTCAGCAAGAGCCCACGCCTTTTTCGCGTTTGCGTTCACGTAGAACGTGCAACTAAACCTCTCTAATGAGGCGTGTTCGATGAGCACGGTGCTACCGCCGTTAGGGCGTCTCCTCGGTGTAGTCTAGAGTGGCATGAGTCATGTTAATGCGTCCATTCTTTGCCTTTGTCAACTATCCTTTCAATAACCTCCCAACAATTCAGTGAGGGGGTTTCCTTATTTTTTCCCCTCTGGAGCAATTGAAGTGATGCTCGACATTTTTGAATTGAGAAGTTGCATATAGCCGAAATCAGCCTGTCAGCAAAATGGGTACACCTCAGTGCCACAACAGGGTATTCGATCAATACTCACGCCACCGTGCATTTTCTTCCCTTTAAAAATGATTACCATGAGGCAAACTACGGTCCCGCTTTATTATTTCAACATAACATTGGAAGGTCACAGCTACAGCGTTTGAGGAGACTGTACACAGAACAGCATATACGGCGCGCTGTCATGGCTGGGCATACTCGGTTGTTCAGGTGAACAACGCTTTATACACGCGAGGTACCCTTTTAAAACAAAGAACCTGACTAGGAAAATCTGAACAGTGTGCCAGTGATGGCTGGTCAGAGATCATATTTTGGCCATATGTTCGTACTTGAGTTAAGATACAACAATCATCTTTACCTTCGCTCGTGCATAACTGTTGTCGTTTAATTAACTTGATTCTACGCTGCGTATGTAAATATGGTTTACGTAATTATCAAGCAAATAATAATGATTGGTGACAATATAACATAAGTATTTTCAACTACTTTCATTTTCCTTAAAATTCTCAACTTAATAAAGGAGTCGTGTTGCATTTGGCATCTTTGAGCGACCTGCAATTTGTTTATGCCACTGGGTATTTTGTCTTTCAATTAACAAAGAAAACAGAAACAAATCGCAAAGAAAACGCCTCCCAAACTGGAATTCGCACAGTAAACAATTCTGTCAATCGCAGTGGTTTGTCAAGAGAGTACGTGTTTACTCCAAGAGCGGAGAGCAAGAGGCGGCAGGGCGATAAACGGGATAAACCGCTGTCCTCAGAAACCTGAGTGATTTCTCTGAGGTACCTCGCTAGCACCGAGACAGTGCGTTATGGCATGATTGACCTTTTCTGCGAGCCTTCGATTCTCCTCATGGGTGCCATTGATTTGTGGATAGTCTGTGACATAATGATGTGCACATGGAATTGCACGCTGTATCGTTTTCCGTTACCACTGGTCTGTGCACACGGGCCCTTGGGATAAAGCTGAGACGAAGGAGACTAACCTTTCAGAATAATGCACTGCAATCGTTTGGTCATAACGACTGAGCTCATTAAGCTGAAGTGAATCTCCCCAGTGGTTGTCCATCAGGCACATGGCTCAGAATAATGGCCTCATTTATCACACGTGACCCCTCGCTTCGCTCCTGCAGTGCTGTCACCAAAAAAGGCTACAGACTATGCCTGAAGGGCATCTCTCTTTCCAGGATCGTTGATTAGACCATGCAGGAATAATCCTCCATGATTAGACATTGACTGATCACAGGAAGGCAAGAAAATGGCAGATCTTGTAAAGAGCATTTTACTGGTTGATTGCTTGGCTGTCACGATGGGTTTAGACCTTTCTATCCCAGGGACAAAGTCTGTGCGAAAAGTTTCACAACTGTTGTGGTCGAAACCCACCTTCATTTGACAAAAAAATGACAAAACGTAGTTTAAGATATGAGCAAAAAGAAATGTGGAGCACCTACGCCTTTCTTTTCATGTGAGGAAAAGGCATCGTTGGGAGCAAAGATCGTATGCGCAAGATGGTGAACTTCATCGTGAATACACGTAAAACGTTGTATTCGCATTGGCGCCATTTCAGCACATTGCACAGGCGCAGGCGCCGCGGCAGGCACGTGCACGTGGTGAGCCTGCGCCCAAGCATTACCGTAAACTGCGCAAGAGTATCGCTTGCTCAAATGGCGCCGACGGTAATTACACCTTTTGGACAGAGTTATCCATCTTGCGCCTTCGGCGCTACACGATCTTTGGTTGGGAGTACAAGATAAACGACAATGTCTGCACGATTTACAGCGCAACAAAGTGTCAAGATGGTGGCCATCTACACCACACCACATTTTAAACTGGGACGAAATGACATTTCTGAATTTGTTTCCTTTAATTTCCTTTTGGGTCCTTGTCTCCGATCTACAGACCAAGAATGCCAGCAACGGGGTCACGTTGACCAAGGAGCTAGTCACGGTTGCTCAGCAGCTGGTCACCGTAACAGAGCCATCAAGCATCGCGTACTCTGGCCAGCTTCTCCAGGCCATCGACATTCTTCTCGAACTCTTTGCCAAGACAGACCTCGGCGGGCTCACAGTAGACTCAGCAAATCAATCCATACAGGTAAGAAGCTTAACGTGAGATATTTTGACACAGCAATCTTTTTTTTTAACTTGAACAGACAAACTTTCTTTGTTTGGTCAATTTTATAGTTTAAGTAAAACAACAGACGTTGTGCGTGAACAGGAGAGGGCGCTGTTGGAGATTGGAGATCGATTGGCTACCAGACCCTCCATATTTTCAGTGTAGAATGGGAAATAAATATGGACGTTTCCACCTATGTTACAAAAGCTTTAAAACTTCATAAGATAGGACCACACAAAAAATAAACCAAAGGTTAAATGGTAGAACTAGTATTGTTGTTGGCTCTCGATACAACAAACGTTTGTTCCTGATTACCTCACTGGCTGGTTTAAATGCTTCATTTCTCCAACTAGAACTGCAAGTACTACTAAACGTACACTTTAATTCTTTTAAATCGCAGAACATATTGAAATCCGTCGACAATGTGCTGAGTTCTGACAGCTTTGCAACTCTCTGGACAAATATTCATCAGGTATGTAATCTTGAGAAATCTTGCCACAAATCGGAGCCAGATTGCTGTAGGGCAGACGGAGATTTGCTTTTAAAATGCCATTAAAACAACGTTGTTTTTTATTCAGGAATTGGGAGTTTCGTGTGACCAAAGTAAGATCAAACACTTGTAATAGTCCTACATAATATATAAACGTTAATAGACTACATTGAGCGACGATCTTCATCGTTCGCAAAGTGCTGTGTTTTGCGTCGGCGTAAGAGGTCTTCCCGCAGACGCGGATGTGGAAATGGAAAGGACCCCCAAATTGTACAAGTCGGCAAGAGGCGCCTTTCCATATGCGCGCCAACACTGGCGCCAAGAGTTGCGTATCCACCAAAATCGCTTCCGGGGCGGTTTTAACGGCCGAACGCAACGCACACTTGTGTTATTTTAATGGGTCGATTTTTGTATCCGTGAAAGTGAAACGCATGAGCGCATCGTGTACGCAGTGTACCAAAAAGTACACGTGGAAAAGCCAAAGGCAGTCAAGCGTCGCATTATAGCCTGTCTATTCTTCACTGTAAGGGTAGCGAAGATAACACTTTTTACTATTTCACCTTTCCCGAATTCTGTCGCCCTAATTCTCGTGCATATTCGTGGAACACAGTGTGCAGGGACACGTACTGCATATGCCAACAATTACGTACTGGCCAGTAACACGATCTAAACCTGTATGCCAGGTTTTGGGAGGGTTTTTCAACCAATTAATCCGTCGTCTGCTGAATCGTTCCAGTTATACCAACTCGGTCCATAAATCGCTTCATGCAGCGACATCAGAACATCATGGAATAGGCTATCGCTGAGTTCTTGGGTATTTTGTGCCCAACAGTGACCATTTAGAACGAACGCGCTAGGAAATAGCAATATACCAAACAGCAAATATGCTGCTAAAGGGCCAGAGAGGTTGAATTTGATATGTCATTTAAGAAAAATACGGAAAAGAATTATCGGTTGTTTGGAGCTTTAAAGGGACCGTGAAAGAGAAATATATTACTAAATCCCTTGAAATTGCACCTTTGGGTTTCAATTTACCTCATTTTAAATTTCTGTTTTCCAATTTTAAACCATATTTTGGAACCCTTATGGTTTTTATGTCAATGGATATGCATGATGAAAATCATGATGTCATCCAAGGCACTAAGCCTGAATGGTGCACTGGTTAGTGCACAGGAAATTCATAGATTTTTCTAAAATCTATGTTATGGTAGATTTTATTTCCTTTGGCAATTTATTGTTGTGTAAGTATACGGCAAAAAGCAAGCAAGCAATTTCATTTTCGTAGAAATGGTTTCAGATAACAAATTTGGGCTTCACAATTTGAACATAAAGACATGCAACCCAAACCATGTCTTCCTGGATTTACATCAAAGCAAAAGCGCCCTCACTTGTCCAGAAATGCTTGGTCAATTTGGAATGTTTGAAAAAGTGCTCTTTTCAGTTCACGTAATTCAAAAAAGATGTCAAACAATCTGCATGCAGTGAAGAAGAGTACAGAGATATACAAAAAGTGAACAAAGAAGAAATTAATTTCATAGATCCTTTAATTTGATTTTCACGGCTGAAGAAAGCACTTAATTGTTCCAAATTCACCTATTCAGTTCTTAGAATTCTTGTTCCCAGGTCCGGCCATGCTGCCTGTATGATGTATAACGACAGGTGAAGAGTTGGTGCATGGAAATTAGAATTCACACGCAGCACCAACGAGTGGGGACTGTAATAGTTATTGCAGATTTCAAACGAGTATTTAAATAGAGTGCATCCCTAATTAGCCTTGCCTAGCGAGAATCATCTCCACACGTGTATGACGAGTGCCTAATGACTTCGAGGATTGTGTTACGACCGCAAGTGATGTATGCAGTGGAGATTGCGGGAGATTAGAGACAACGTCAGGTGTATCTGGACGCGCGTGCGCAGTACGTTTAAAGGTACAGTCCATCATTTGTCGTTGTCTAAAAGGTAACTGCCGAATGAACTGTTGAAGAGGATACTTGTAATAAGGAGAGTTATGGCACTAAACTCCTTGAGAAATTATTCTTTCTGGCAAGGCATCATTTTGAATAGAACAATTAAAGAAGGTCATTTCCAAAGATGCGTCTAAACACGCATTCGTAGAAATTACCGTCAGCAGTTCGGAGTTAATTCGGGGAATTAAAGCGCGCGCAAACGGTGGCAGGACGTACGCGTGCGCGCGGTTAGAATAATTCGTCAGTTCAATCAATGGGAACGTGTCCCAGACGCTGAATTCGACTGCAAGTCCAACATATGAGCCTGCATCTTTTGATTGGAAATCGAAGTCCTAGGATATTTGCCACAAAGCAGTGTTCTGTAACATCTTACTATGCTGCCGCGCAGAATATGGAGGCATTTCAATTAAACTTGAGGGTCTGAATGGCTGCTGACAGGCCAGTTCTTTTGTTTCACTGGGTATGCACAAAGGAGGTTTCCCTGTGGAACAAATGAACTGCCATGCAAGAGATTACTACTGTATAAGCAAAGCCTCTAATACGCACTTTCAACAAATATGCCAAGGAGATTCCAGAGGTAACAAAATTCATTAACAGAAAAGCAAAACAATCATCAACGGAGGAAGG